GAAGTTGGATTCTGTTTCTGCGCTGTCTCAAGATTTTAGTGCCAGGGTTCGGGGCCTTGCTGCTGGCTTGCATTGGAGGGGAGAGGGGAGACCTCTTTGCTGACTTGTAATGGGGGCGGGGCCTCCCTGTTAACTTCTCCCATGGGTGGGGCCTCACTGCTGAATTGCCTCAGAGATAAGACCAATACAACACCATGTTTATGCTCCATTTGCTTTGAACAGACAAATGAACAAATAATCCTTAAAATACAAGAAACTAGGACATTCTGGTGACAAAAACAATAGGTCTATTTTATGTCTGGAGACCTCTAAACCTTCAGAATACAGATATCTGCTTGGTATCACTCTTCCAGTGAATGACCTACCTACTTAAAAACAACTTAATTAACTAGTGTATAGGCATTCTGTTATTGACTCTACAAATTCATAGACAATACAATTTCACTATCCTTCCTCATGATAATGAAAAATGCACGGGTTACATTTTATTGTATTTGATATAGCATATTATATTATACTGACTATCTATTATTCTAACACATTAAAAAAGCTACCACAACACTAAAATTCTACACTGTTGGTGCCTGAATACAACAACACGGAAGTAACTTTCCTTAAAGGCCATGCTGGTGGAACAAAAAGTATACAAGACATTACAAAACTAGAAAGGTTTTGAGTCTATTTGTTTGCTTCTCATCTCCTCCACTAGATTGTAAGCTCCTTGAGGGCAGGAACTATCTTTCGCCTCTTTGTAAATTAGCACAGTGCCTGACACATAGTAGGAACTTGATAAATGCTTAATAAAAAGTCCAGCAATGGTGACATGCTGGACATATGAGAATATCCAAAATGCCGAGAGAGAGAGAAAGAGAGAGAGAAAGAGAGAGAGACAGAGAGAGACAGAGAGAGAGAGAGACAGAGAGAGACAGAGAGAGAGAGAGACAGAGAGAGAGAGAGAGAGAAAGAGAGAGAGAGAGAGAGAGAGAGAATAGTTTCTTGAAATTTTTTAAGATAATAATCCCTGACATCCTCCATTCATTCCTTCCATTCCTGTACTTTACAATCAAACCAAACTGGCCTTCTCTGTATTCCTCCCACAGCACTCTATCTCCCACCTCTAGGCCTTTGCACTGGCTGTCTCCCATGCCTGGAATGTACTGCCTCATATGTACCTCACAGAATCCCTCACTGCCTTCAAGATTCCATTTAAGGACCACCTTATTCACAATGCCTTTCCTAGTCCCTTCAACTACTCATGGCCTCCTTCCTTCCGACACTGTAGTTAACTAAATTATAGCTATTGTGTATATACTTATTTATGACAGCACTGTGTATCCAACAGATCTAAATTCCTTGGAAGCAGGGACTTTTTTTGGTCTATCTCCCAGTGCCTAACAAAGAGTAAATTACTTACTTAATAAATGGTTGCCTAATAGTCTTTATGTTTAACAAGCATTGTTTCATTGGATCTTTACAACAATATTAGGAAATGGGTACATTGCAAGCAATATTATTCCTCGTGACCTATCATTTTGCAAATGAGAAAACAGACAAAAAGGAGTTATATAACTTGTCCCCATATCTTGACAAAATGCCCTTTCAAACAGAGCAATTGAAGCTTCAACAAATTCTCTATGTTAGCAGCCTGGTGGGTAGTAGAAACTGACAAGCTTAACTGGAGAATCAGAGATTTCATCACACACATATTGCTTAAAGGCAGAAAGAAGGAAAAGAGGCAATATATCCCAACAGAGAAGCAATGAGGTCTCCCAACCCCATTACTGAGTAAGGATGCTTTGCAAATTCAGTCTAATTTTGTCATCACCACCAATAAATAAAAAAAGACTTAACTGTAATATGCAATACATTAACTACTGTTTCCATCATTGGCCCAGAAGTGTCATTATTGGAAGTGTCATTATTGCTACGAAATTCTGCTACAACTAATTCTATAGTGTTAGATCTGTCACCTGATACAGCTTAGCATAAAAAGGTATCATTAAACTGATGCTGTACCCAAAAAGTGCATGATATGTTTAAAAATACAAATGGAAAGATTGTCTTCGCCTTCAAGGAGGCCATGGATCACTTACTGAAGGACAGTCCTTATGTACGTTTGAAATGACTGTCAAATATTGGTCTTCAGCCACATGGAGACTGCAATGAATATTATCAAAAAAAAAGGACAAAAGGATGAAAAATGGAAACTATGAGAAAAAATTAACATGAAAGGAATGGAATTTTCACATAACTAACAGAAATTCAAAGCTCACTCATGAATCAAATCATCTCATAGGAATATCTAGTAGCAATTTAAAACATACTGAAACAAATGAAGTAAAGGTATTATAACTACAAATTTATTTAGCCTAATTACTTTTTTTAAATGAATTAAAATTGTCCTTATTTCTTACATGTTATCCTCTTTTAGAGCTTAGTCAAAGACAAACAATTTAAATACTAATTACAAACATATGGCATGTGGACTTACAGTTTTGCCTGGAACCTGGTTTTACAGGCTAGATATCTCTGCACTTGGGACTGGTTGACACCATAGATGCCGGTCCATGTGAAGGTCCCACCTATAGCAATTGTCCAGAAAGTGTGTCTCTGCAAAGGGCTAGGATTAAAGCTACATAAACACAAATCAGGAAAACTGGAATTTCAAAAAGGTACAAAAACAAAACATAACTGCAGAACATTCTGCAATCAAGCTCAGAAAAAGTTATGTATGTGTGTGTATATATATATAGATGTGTGTGTATACATATGTGAGAGTGTATTCCCTTTTGTAGTTTTAAATCATCTAGACAAAAATATATGGACTACTAACAGGCTTAAATGTGATTGAGATTGAATAGCTATATAAATCTATATAATGAAATTCCTAATAGAAGCCAAAAAATTCCATCTGCTCAGCTAAAAGCTGTCACCAACTTCTCCTTGCTATGGCAACATACTTTTATATGTCAATGTTAACTAAACAGAGACCCTGTATGCAGTCAGAGAATAACCCACAAGAACATGGCTTTTCTAGAGATTCTATGTTGAATTCCCACAGCCACAACACAATGAAGTGTATTGCCAAATTCACAGAGAAGTACTGTGCATCATGACAATTGCATGGCAAAAGGTGAAAACCCTAGGGATACTTTCTTTGAGAAAAGTGGCCAAGTATAAGAATTGAAAGGCTTGGGTAAAAATTCTAGCTCTGCACCTTAATACTGGTAAGAAGCCTCTCTCAAGGCTTCAGTTTCTTTAAATATAAAAATTAGGATGTTGCATAAGATAGTGTCTGAGGTTCTTTCCAGACTTAAACCCAATGACTCTACAAAATCACAGCAGCTGATGGCTTGTCATTACAGAGAGTTAAAGTCTGGGAATTAAGATCTCCACTACTGACAAAATTAACTGAGTAAGGCATAATTCACTCTTCAGACACTGTCAACTATGACAATGTAATGATGCCATAGACAAGAGAGGAAGGACACCTAATTTCTACACAATCATCTTCGGGGTTTATGTAACTTTTCACTTTTTTCCAGGCATTTATGATCAGGTATTGTGGCAAAGCAGAAAGGAAAATGGATTTGAAATCAAAGAGTCTGGTTTTGAAATCTGAGTCTGCCAATGTCTGACACTAGGTAAACACATAACCTTTATGGATCTCAGTTTCTTCAACTGAAGAACACAAAGGTAGGAGGAATGAAGAGCAAGACTGGCCTACATAGCCGCAGGTCCTCAACAATTCTAAAGCATCTGTAATACAATTTAGAATACATAAGCATATACAGAAACATATACACTTCTTATTGAGGAGAACAAATGATCAATTTCCTTAAATCCTGGATTCTCATACAAAGTTTTCTACTCACGGACCCCCAAACACTAAGAAAGCTGATTATCTAGTAGTTAGAGCCACATAATTATTGCTTATCAAATGATTGATTACATATGTATTGCACCAACCATGAAGAAATTATGAGTTACTTCTCTTTCAAATGTGTCATTTGCAGGATTAAAAAGTACATGTTTAAATCATGATTGTCATTTTAATAGGATCTTTTTCAAAAGAATTTTAGTCAACTAGTACTTCTTAAGCATTAGGCACTAAGTGAACTCTTTATGATCAACAAGGTTATTAATTTACGTCTAGGAACTTGACCTCTACGATTCATCCTGCAGAGAGTCTAGGGCAACATTGGATAAATCATGTGATCCAAAAGTGTGACCAGTTTTTTCCATCTTACTGTTTTTCTTTTGGCTAAAAATCCAGCCAAACTGCAGTTACTTGACCAACCCAGGAAGGAAGTGATGGTTCTTACCTGGCCAAGCCATTCCATTGCACTGTCTGCACCATCTCCTAAACTTAGCACCATCCTATTTCCCAACTACACAGGGCCTGATGCGCTGAGATGGCTCCACCCTGAGGTCCAATATCCGTATCAAAAGAAGGCACTGTTCATCTTCTACTAGTACTCTGCCCCACTGGTACACATAGCCCCCTAGAGATGATGATAGCCTGTTCTACTTCTACACTGTGTCCTCTAGGGATGGATAACCCACCTGAATTCATTTCCTTGACAACTAACATACCCCCACTTCGTGTAGTACCCTCCCCCCTTCCCAGCTATTCTGAACCTATCACGAGACAAACCTATTCTCTATCCTCCATTGCCCACTTCTTTATTTCTATCCTCCTTCACCCACCTCCTCACTCTAGAACTACCCTCCCATTGAGTTTTCTGAAAGGCCTACTCTATTGGTCTTTCTTTTCCCACTCCTTCCATCTTCTAACTTCCACTGAGACCTGGGGCTCTATCCTGATGACATGGCTTCCGGGGTCCACCCTTTCCAGCACTACCTGAACTTTCACTAATATTCTTTGATACTATTCAGGCATGGTGGGGGTTGTAATATTTGTTCTACATTGCCACTTCCAGGCTATCAACCCTACTATCAACACTCAGGAACTTCTCTCTTCCTTTGAGGTTCATTCAATCTAGAATCATGACCCAATCAAGATTCCAGTGGCTGTTATTTACCAAAGACAGAGACACTATTCCTTTCCCGTTGAATTCAGGGCCTGGCTTACAGTCTTTCTCTCCTCACCAACCCTTATACTAGGGAGACTTCAACATATACTTCAAATACTCTAACTAGAAGCTACTCAACTCACATCTCCATCCCATTAAGTTCCTCAAAGAGATAAGATGATCCTATCCTCGATCTTGCCATCACCCACAAATGCACAATTTCCACGTTCATGAACTCTGAAATTCCCTTATCTGATAATTTGTTATCTTCTACCTCTCCCTCTGCTCTGCAATCTCTAACCTAGTTCTTCATCCTCATTGTCACCTTCCACCATTTGAGGCATCCTTCACTTCTTTCTGAAGCTATTAGTCAGCACGACCTACACTTCACCCTTCCCCATCCTGACCCCTTGGTGAACCAGTTCAGCTCTACCCTGTTCTCTTCCCCCGAGTTATTTGCCCTTTGTCTCTCACCAGTCTTCCCCTCCCAACTCTCAGCCCTGGATTATTCTCATGTACCGCCTTTAATCCACTCCTATGCACGTTACTGCTGAAAAAAGCTGGAGAAAAACATGAAAGCATGCTGACTAGGTGCACAACAAATCTATATTATATATCTCAATTGGGCCCTCAATGCAATAATATGATCTCTTTATAAGCCCCTAGTTGATTTACTTTCCAGTTCACAATAAGTGTTTTCAAACTTTTTCACCCCTTCTTAAACCTCCCTTTCCCTTACCTTCTCAAATAAGAAACCTGACTCATGTTTCACTAAAAAAATTGAGGACATCCACAGGGAGCTCCCTCTTCTCCCCTATCACTCAGCTGCCTTCTCCCTCTATCTCATCCTTCATCCCATCTCACACAAAGAGGGAGGCCCCTACTCCTTACCATAGCAAACTCCTCTACCTAGCACAAGCAATGCCCTTTCATCCTTTCTGTCTCATTAGCCTTCAGTATCTCACTGTCTACAAACATTATCATTATCTCCCTTTCTCAAAAAACCTTCCCTTGACTCATCCCACCCCCTCTAGTTATGATACCATACCTCTCCTCTCTGTCACAGCTGAACTCACTGAGAAGGCCATCTACAAGAGATGCCTCTACCACTCTCTTGCTCTCACAGTCTTTTTAAAGTTCCAAGGTCTGGTGTCCAACCTCATCATTCAACTAAAACTGCTCTCTCCAAAACTGCCAATGGTCTTAATGGCCTTTTCTCAGTGCTCATCCTTTTTGACCCCTCTGGAGCCTCTAACACCATCACCCTCTTCTCCTTGATACCTTTGTGACACTATTCCCTCCTCACTCTTCTTCTATCCAACCGCTCCTTTTTTTTTGCTGAATTTTATTCAAGTCACACCTACTAACCATTAAGTATCATCTGCGGCTCTGTCTGATATGACCAACTCCTATGATTCAATTATGTTCTCTATGCAAAGGATTCTCAAATCTGCTTATCCAGCTTCTAATCTCCCTGCTGATCTCCAGGCTTGCCTGTGCCTGCTGGGCACCTCAAAAAGGATGTCCCATACAGATCTTAAATTCAGCAAGTCCAAAACTGAGTTCATTATCTTTCTCCCAAACCCTCCCTTCATCCTAACTTCCCTGTTGCCGTTTTTAGGGCACCACTACCTTCACAGCCACCACAACCCAGGTGCCATCCTCTACTCTATTTCTCTCAACCCCTATACTCAATCAGCTGCAAAGTTCTGTCACTTCTCTACCTTTGTAACATCTCCCATATGTGCCCCTTTCTCTTCCCTGACACTGTCCCGTCACAGTATAGGCCCTCATTACGTCACACCTGGACAACTAAAACAGCCTGCTGATTGGTCTCCCTGCTCCTGTCACCCCTCCATTCAGTTATGAAAGCTATGTGTACGTGGCTTGTCTCCCAGCAGATAAGGAGTTCCTAAGCCTTTCTGTCATGGATAAATGACGTAGCGAGGAGAGGCAGGCGAGAGCTGGGCTCGGAGTCAAATCTGGCCTCACACACTTGCTAGCAGGGTGACTCGGAGAAGGCTGGCTCATCTTAGTGTCCTCAAGTGTAAAATGAGGACAAAAATGGCACCCTACCTCCCAAGACTGTTGTGAGGATCAAATGAGATATCTGTAAAGAGCTTAGCACGGTCTAGGCATATAGTTAGCATTTAATAAATGTTTTTTTCCTTCCCCTCCCCCCCTCCCTTACCACAGACATCCTTCAGCAGTCTGGTGAAGCCTATGGACTCCTCAGAATAATGTTTCTAGTACATAAAATAAATTGAAATGATAAATTTCAGTTAGAGGTCAGTGAAAACAAAGATGTAATTTTTTCTGATTTAAATTCACAGGCCTTCCAGAAATCTATTCACTAACCCCTGGGAGTCTGTGGACTCCAAGTTAACAACCCCCTGCATTAAATTATAAGCTTTTCACAGCCAGTGTTCATGAATAGATAAGAGGGTATCTTTTACGCATCAGGATTTTATAAAATGCTTATTGAACTGAACATTAGGCATAAAGCCTGCAATCTCAACACTAAAATTGAATTTGTTGGTTATACTCCTCAAAGTCAGACACTTGGCCTTCAAATCTTGACTTTGCTATTTACTAGCCAGATGACCACAGGGCCATCACTTCACCTCAAGGAGCCTCAGTTTCCTCATCTGTAAAATGTAGATCATTTGTACTAACAACCTTACACTGTTTCACCTTTTTAAACCTCAAAGAATTATATAAATATTAGCTATTGTTATTATTCCAACATTTAATATTTTTAATACTTTTTTACATCTAATATGAAACCTTTTAATTGAAAGAAATTAAAGTGAAATTCAAAGAAAAAAAATCAACTTACTCCCAAAATCTTAATCTTCCTCCTTCCTCTGCATGTCTTATTATAGTTTTAAGTCCACCTTGAAGATGTGAAGTCTGTATGATAATTGAAGAAAATCCTGCCACCATAATGAAAGTTTTGATAACGTCTGTCCATACAACAGCTTTGAGACCTCCCTAGAAAGAAATAATGCATGTGAAATATTAAAAAGTTTATTTTCATTTGTACATTTATTCTGTACCTGGCAAAGTTAGGTGTCTATGCTAACTGGAACTGACTGATTTCAACAAAACTTGACTTGTAAAAGTTACCCAAATATACTTTAAGCTTGATTCGTGGTTCATCTTGTCACCTGCAAACAAGCAGTAATCAAGAAACATTTCCACATGAGCACAGTATCACTAAGCTTTAGCAGATTTCAGTAAAATTTGGCATGTGGGTAAAGGTTACAGATATTCTGTATCAAGAAAAGTTTACATAACTAATAATTCTGTTCAACAGCCTTTAAATGAAATGCATCACTGTTAATTGTCACAAAACATTACATTCGGTTTCCTTGCATGTTACAACTCAAATATTCATGACAGTGAAATTTGTTATTAGAAATTATGTTACAATTTGGAACTATGCCCAAAGAGGTATAGAATTAAGCATACCCTTTGACCCAGCAATACCACTACTAAGTCTGTATCCAAATGAGATCAAAGAAAAAGGAAAAGAATCTATTTATCAAAAACATTTGTAACAGCTCTTTTTTGTGGTGGCAAAGAACTGGAAACTGAGGAGATGCCCATTAACTGGGGAATAGCCAAACAAGTTGTGGAATATGTTTATGATGGAATATTATTGTGTTTTAAGAAATGACAAGCAGATTGGTTTCAGAAAAACCTGGGAAGACCTATATCAATTGATGCAGAGTAAAGTGAACAGAATCAGAAAAACACTGTACAGTGTAATAGCAATACTGTAACAACGATCAACTGTGAAGGAGTTAGCTACTTTTATCAATGTGATCCAAAACACTTCCAAAAGACTCACAATAAAAAACACTACCGACCTTCAGAGATGAACTCTGAGCACAAATTAAAGTATAATTTTTTTGCACTTATTTTTCTTGCTTTTGGGGGGGAACATGGTTAATACAGAAAAATATGTTTTGCACAGCTTCACATATATAACTGTTACATTGCTTGCCTTTGCGAGGATGGGGGAGGAGCTGGGAGAGAATTTCGATTTCAGAAACTTTTTAAAGAATGAGTAAAAATAAATAATAAATTAGGAAAAAAAGAAATTATGTAACAGTTTGTTAAATATGTTTAAAGTAGAACATGAAGATATAGTTTTGTACTGATGAGGCCCCTTCTGTACTAAAATACAGCTTATATGCTCCCAGTGATAAGCTTATCTTTAATACTCAGCCAGTAGACATAATAAACTCAAAGCAAAGACATTTACTAAGATGGTGTAGTAAAAACGATAACTAAAAACAACTGACCCATAAACACCAAGTGTCTGTGTGAAGAATAGGCAAAAATTTAGAATACACTAGTTATAAGGCATAGAAGTCAGGAACATATATGGCCAACGCAACTCATACCTCTGGTACTGAACAAACAGATATCTCAGTTTTTCCTGAGCTAGCAGGTGAAACTTTTTAAAAGCCACCAGGAGACATAGTTAATCTTCAGTCAGCCAATGCCAAGCTCCCTTTCTAATTTTATCAGCAAGAACTCCACACAAAGAGGCCATGTTGGCACATAATTAATCTAATAATACCTCATCGCTACTATCAGACTACTTTCTGTGAACAGGAGGAGAAATACAAATCCTCTTACCCCACTAGATACTGATTGTAATTCAGCAAGGGAATAAAAAAGAATAAATTCATCATAAAATGACATGAAATAATTTAAGATGGCACTCAGCTCCAGATAATTAGCAGGTTCTTCTCACTCGTAAAAATCACAGAACACCTAGAGACACAGCACAGTTCAAAGGCCTGCCAGGAACCTAAGTCGTGCTTGTCTGCAGCCCGTCACACAAGCACTAAGCTCTCAAGTATCTGCTTTCTCTTGGTATGTCTTGGTAATGATACGTACCAGAAAGAAGATGCTACCAACTGAAAGTGCTAACTGCAGGATTAGGAAATATACATTTGAAAAGTGGGCCATGTCTAAGTTCTACAGTGGCTTCCAATTTCAACATCTGTTCTATTTCTTTCCTAAGTCCTCGACTTCAGACACCTACCAGAGAAAATTCTTAAACATATGCTGAAGACATAGCATGAATACAACGAACAAGGATAGCCCTAATCATTCTGTGGAGTGGAAACAATTTTTAGATTAGTCCTCCAGGCATCTTTTATGCTTTCTCTATGTGCCAGGGAAAGCTGACATTTGCTCAGCACCCTCAACTATAAAATAAGAATAATATGTAACTCGCAGGGTTGTTGTAAGGATCAAATTAGATAATACCTGTAAATCACTTAGTGCAGTACCTGGCACACAGGCACTTCAAAAAACGTTTCTTCCTTTACCTTCCCCCCTTCTTTAAACATATGCTTAGAGAGATGACTGGACTCAAGATACAAGCCAAGGTGAGAACTTGTTTACTTATATTTGCTACAAAGTTTTGCTTTTCTTTTTTTTAGTGGTGGGTAAGGGATGGGGAAGAAAATAAATTCTTAACAAAAAAAATGTAAAATAAAATAAATTTTAATATTAAAAAATACCTTCTAACAATGTTATTCAAATCCCAAATAGAATGGTACAAACATGACCATAAAGGCAAATAGAAGAAATGTTCATCTCAAGACCCAGGAGAATTCCACTTCCTCTCCAAGTATAGGTTTGGCTTAAATACCCCCATAAAGTTTCCCCTACCTTTTCAGCTAGAGTTGAACTCTCACTCCTATGAACCTTCATAACACCTCATGCACAGAAATCTAGAGAAAGGCTGGACCTGTTACTTTACTGATCTACATAAACTCCCAGATGAGAAGACCCAATCTGGCAATACAAGGTCTGTACCTTCTCTGCAATTTGTAATCTGAAGCAAGATGTGCAGAACACTGGGCCCCTCTTTAACATTTTGGCAAAGCCTATGGACCCCTTCTCAGAATGTTTTTAAATGCACAAAACAAAACACATACAATTAAAAAGGAAAGCAAATATTCTGAGTTACCAAAATATTTTTGAAAAAAATTTTTTCAAAGAATATCTGTCTAACCTTCATTCATATACCATATACTATTGTGTTTTATAGTTCTTAATATATATTAAATATTTCATCTATTATATTATAAAGCAAATTGCAAGCTGAATTTCACTTTACTTATCCATCTATCTTTCACAGTTTTTAAATCATAATAGGTACTGAATGTTTATTGAATGAGTAAATGAACGAACCACTAATTTCTTGCTTAAAAATACTGAAAATATTGTAAATGTATTTTAGAGAACCATTTGGAGGATGACATTGGCCATTTTCTTTCAAAGGATAAGATACTTAGACTGCTGTGCAGCCCTGGGCAAGTCATTTAACTTCCATGGACCTTAGTCTTCTCTTTTGTGAAATGATGGGGATGGACTCAACGTCCTTTAATGGCCCTTCCAGCTCTAAATCTATATTCCTATGATCCTATATTCCTTATTTCTATTCTTATTCTCATGTCCCTTCTTCTTCTTCAGCAGAATGCACCATCAATCATTTCCTCTCAATTTTAAATTTCTTCCTATCTACTGAACCCCTTCCTTTCTGCCTATTACCATAGCTCAGGTCTCTCCTATCCTTAAAAAAGACAAAAATACTCACCTTGCTAGCTCCCCAAACTTTTGTCTTTTATGTCTCTTCTCTTCCACTACTAAACCCCTACAAAGATAATCTACATTTGCTACCTCTATTTCAAAACCATTCATAAAGCTCCTTTTACTGTGGCTTCTGACCAGTCTATTACTACTACCCACTCCAATATCACCCAGGACCTTTTTGCATGATATTATTTTCTAATTTTCTAATATTATTTTCTCAGTCTTCAGCCTCCTTAACTTTTATGTTGTTTCTGACACCTCTGATCACCCCTTCATGGATACTTTTCCTTGACTAGGCTTCCAGGACTGTTCCATCTACCTGCCTGGCCCCACTCCTTCACAGTTTTCTGATCATGTTATTTATGTTTAGTACCTTAAGCATATATTGTCACATCAAGCTCTGTCCTAATGCTTCTCTGTAATCTCTCTATATTCTCTCCTGAGGCGATATTTCTCTATTCCCATGAAGTCAACTATAATCACTACACAATTATTTTATTAGTTCAAATCTCTCTTAAACTCTAATAGAACATCGTCAACTGTTTGTTGGATAGCTCAACCTAGAAATCCTACCAATACCACAAACTTAACAAAAAGGAATTCATTACCTTCACAGTAGAACTATTCATCCTCTGAATACCTTTTTATGTTAAAGGCAGAAGAATCCTCTAATTTACCTAAATTTATAACCTGGGAATAATCCAAGATGCTTCCCTCTCCCTCCCACATCCAATTAGTTGTCAAATCCTTGGATTCTACTTCCACAGAATCCATTTCTCTTTTTCCATACATGCTATCATCCTGATTTGACCATTGCCTTTTGCTTTAATTACTGGAAAACACTCCTAACTGTTTGCTCTGGTTTCAGTGTCTCCCTTCAGCAATCTATCATTTACACAGCTGCCAAAATAAAATTCTGAACATATAAGTCTGACCTTGTCACTATTCTACTACTCAGAAACCTTCAGTGGCTTCCTCTATTCTCTTGGACAAAACATCAATTCCTCAGCCTGGCAGTTAAGCCCTCTGCAATTCAGTTCTAACTTACCTTACCACAAATTTCTTATCACTTCAACTAGTCTTAATTCACAATATATCCCTTTATGTCAAATGAAATTATTAGCTGTTTTTCAAATTTGACATTCAATTCCTACTCAAGCATTTGCAAAAGCCAATCCCAATATCTTTTATTCTGCTTCTCAAGTTCTATCTTCAATATAGCTCATATGCCACCCACCTCCATGAAGCTTCCTCTGATTCTCTCCAGTGGTTTGTCCTCAAATTAAACTGTATTTACTTCTGTGTGTGTGTATGTGAGAGAATGAGAAGGAGAGAGTGAGAGAGTGAGACAGAGAGGCAGAGAGAGAGAGAGAGAGAGAGAGAGAGAGAGAGAGAGAGAGAGAGAGAGAGAGAGAGAGAGAGAGAGAGAGAGAGAAGAGAGAGAGAGAGAGCGCGTGCAATATTCCCCTAGGAAGCTCTTTAGTGCCAAGACTTTCATTTGCCTAAATGTCCCCAGCACCCAAAACAGTAACTTGCACATGTAAGCATTAACAAATGTTTCCTGAATTTTACTGAATCTGATTAGCTCCTCCATTCTCCAAACTAAGTCAGTCATTTTGGTTCCAAATCCAGGGACAACACTAAGGTAACAGACACTTCTGTAGGGTTACTTTATCTGTCTATTAGAAAAGCAGCTATTTTCCTACCTGTATATAAACATCTCACTTAAGGGGAAGCATCATGGGACAGTGGACAGAGCACCAAATTTCAAATTGGAGGACCTGGGTTGAAATTCTAGCTCTGCTACACACTACCCTTTATGACTAAGCAAGTCACTTGACCTCATCTATAAAATTAGGTCGTTGGACTAAATGAACACTAAGATCTCTTCAGTTCTAAATCTTTGCTCTGATAATCTACCGAGTGTTCCTCCATGCCTATGCCGTTGCCTTCATCAATCAATCAAACCAACAATTATTTAAGTGCCTATCATACTTTATAATGGAAAAGACTGGAGCGAGGAGAGGCCTGAAGCAGGCTTTAAGACGCTACTGAAATAATTTAAGCAAACGGTGATGAAAGGCCTGAACTAGGAAGACAGCTTTGTGGTTAGAGAGAAAGCACTAGAAGTGAGACATGCTGTGAATGCAAAAAGGGTAAGACTTAGTAATTTATCAGCTATGTGGGATGAAGGAAAGTGAGCAATATAGGATAATGCCAAGATTACAAACCTGAGACACTGGAACTATGGTGCCCTCAAATGATCTAGAGAAGTTTGGAAGAGGAGAAGGCTTAGGGGTGAAATGGAAATTGGAAATTCCCCTTTAAATTAATAAGATCACTCAAATAAATAGGTTCAGTTCAAATCCCAGCCATGACCGTTCCGTAACTCCTGAGTGTTCTTGGCTTAGCATTCCAGGAACAAGCCATTCCTAGGTCACGTTGACATGGAGGGTTGGCTCCCCTCCTTGTGAGACATGATGTTATTAAAAAACAAAATACCAAGCCTCAGGCGGATGGGAGCGTGGCTAAGGCCAGATGTGTATTGAACAAACCATGAATAGCGCATGCGTCAAAAAGGACTTCTTGGCCCCAAGCCTTCTTTGTTTAGAACAATAAAAAAACTGCGTCCTGTAAGCCCGCTGAGCTTCACCCGCGGGAAGGACACTTCGCCCGGGAAAATCTTTACACAATTCAAGTTTGTACGGGCTGCAACGGGGCTCCCAGCCGCTGATTGACTTTGGAGGTTCCCTTGAATTGGTGATGTATTCTCTTCCATTACCGACTCTCTTGATCGGTGCTATGTTATTGATTGTTCTTATTGTTATATGCTTTCTATGCAAATTCAAACTATCTGTGCCTTGCTTCTTCTAAATAAATTATCTATTTCTTATTATTTTCTGGTGCATTGGAGAGTGTCATTTATAGGAGCGAATCCGAACCTCACTAAATCGTATTAATACAGGGGAAAGACAATGAACTACATTTTAGATATGTTAAACTTAAGATTTCTCTGAGACATGCAGTTGAAATATCCAATAAGCAACTGGTAACGTAGGGCTCAAGTCTGGGAGAAAGAATGGGGCTGGACAGACAGATCTGTGAATATCATCAGCCCAGAGATGTTAGTTAAAACCATGGAAGTTGACGAGGTTACAAAGAAAGAGAAACTACACAAAGAGTAGAAGGCCCTAAAATAGAGTGTTGGACTAGAACTTATTTTAAGAAAACTGAATCTTCCCTTTCAGATTAGATATGCAGACTATTTAACTCAACAAGTAGAGCTGATATTGAAATAAACAACATACCAATGAGCAGTAGAAAGTACAGACAATCCCTGTTGTAACTACTGCACCCCAGAGTTCAAAACCTGTGACTAAAAAGAAAACATAAAAAACTGTAAAACATGAATTTTAGACTAACTTTCCTAATGCTTCAAATGTTGAAAAGTTTTTATAGCTTTCATGTATTTTATTTGGTGACTTTCAAGCTTTTAAAACATTCTTATCATTTATTTCAAACTACATCCTAAAATATGAACAAAGATAATTTACATTTGAAATATACTGATATTATTATAGAAGTGTTTTGCATAACTACACATGTATAACCTATATCCAATTGTTTACCTTCTCAACGGGGGAGTGGGGGTAGAGAAGGAGGAAGGGAGAGAATTTAGAACTCAGTTTTAAAAATGAATGTTAAAAATTGTTTTTTACATGTAACTGGGGAAAAATAAAATACCAAATAAAAATTTTTTAAAAAAAGAAATATACTGCTATTTCAAGGACCAACTTCTAAGCAGGAAGTTTCCTGAGTTGCTGTAACCAGCCAACCCTCTAGGATAATCCTCTCCAGAGTCAGGTAGGGTAGCCCTCAAGTAGACAATGAAACCTTTCCAACTTGGTAGGACAGGTTTGTGGTTTGTGTTCCACTGATATAATCTTCAAGAACTCAAAGTCACATCTTCTACAACCCTATCAGAATTTAAATTGCACACTTCAGTGTCAAATAAGTTTGAAATAATTTAGAACTTTTAAACAACTACAAAAATACGGAGAGACATGAGACATATTTGCTTTGGCTATCACTCTAAGGAACTTACCAGTATGAGTGTCATTATACAAAAAGCCAACTGCTTCAAATCTGCTACAAAACAATGATTAAAGCATTGGCATCCAAATTGAAAATATATATGAACTAACAAATAATATTTTCCATGAAACATATGTTAGAATGCCACAAACAAAAAAATTGGGAGGAGTCTAGCGATTGTGTTCTAGTCCCAGCTATATCACTAGCTATGACACTGTGCATCCCTAGGCTAGTCACTTAGTCTCAACACCCTCATCATTTAAATAAGCATAATACCTGTTCACACTGCATTCACAAAATAACCTTGAAGAACAAATGAGATACAGCGCTTTTAAAAATGGAAAAGATCTTTTCAGTGTAAGATATCACTATTAAAGAAAACAGTTTACATTATTATATCTGTAATTCCAATCTACCAATATAAATAAATCATGCGAATATCATCTGCCTAGAGATGATAGTTAAAAGCACATGAATTGGTGAGGTTACAAAAAGAAACTATACAAAGAGAGAAGGCCCTAGAATAGAGTGTTTGACTAGAACTTATTTAAGAAAATGAAATCTTCCCTTTCAGATTAGACATGCAGACTATTTAACTCAACAAGTAGAGCTGATACTGAATAAACTGCTACCAATGAGCAGTAGAAAGTACAGACAATCCCTGTTGTAACTACTGCACCCCAGAGTTCAAAATTTGTGACTAAAAGAAAAGGCCAAGAGTTTGGTCTTTGTCAGACAGAAGCAGAAAAAGAAATCCAAGGACGAAGACTAAATCAAAAAGAAATGTATATTGGATACAAATATCAAATATAACTTAAGTGGCTTATTTTTATAAGTCATAAATTTGTCGCTTAACTTCACTAAGTGATCCAGTCATTTAAATTCACTGGAAAATTAACTATAAATTCATAATTTAAAATAATGGCTATTATTTTAAGCTTACCTTGATTCAAAGCAAGAGCAGGAGCATAAATAACAATTCCAATGTACAGTATCTAAAAGAAGAAACCAAATAAGGAACACTGACAATCAAACAGTATCTCTAAGAGGCATAAAAGATTATCGGACATATTTATATGCTTTCCTGAAATACACACTTTGGAACAATTATTTTGAAACAGTAGCCTCCTGACCCTACCGAGTTTGTTGTGATAGTTCAAATTATATTTCAAATTGGCAGCTAAGTGGCACAGTGGCCAGAGTACTGCCCGTGGAGTCAGGAAGACCTGACTCTTACTTCAGATCACCCGGTAGTTGTGCAACACAGGACAAATCATTTAAACCTCTCAGCCTCAGTTTCCTCGTCTACAAAATGAAGATAATAATAACAGCTACTCCACAGATCTACTTGGAAAATCAAATGAGGTCTATAAAGAGCTCTGCAAACTTTAAAGTGCTTTATAAATGCTAGCTATTATCAAAATCTAATCTTTCTTTTAAAGTCATCAGATGAGCTGAAGTAAGATGAGTTGCTCTTATATTTAAAATCTGTGTTAAAGACTTTTCTTTCCTCTATGTCTTTAAAGTAGTTTAGAGGATACAGCTCTAGACTGGTTAAATTACAATATAGTAAGTTCTTTCCTTCTTGCTTCAAAGTTAAAATTCCTAAAAGGTCTTCTCAATAAATGTATTTTTTTTAAAAAAAGAATAAGACTTTTGGTTTGTATACTTCTTTGGCAAAAGAAGTAGTAATGAACTGTTTTTAAGAATTATCTGATCTAAATTATCAAAATCTAAGTGTTGAAAGGGATCCAGGATGTGATCTCATCCCACCCACACTTGAAAAGATATCCCCTTTTGTGACACTCTAAGAAATTAAGACGTTCTGTGATAAGGAATCCTTGACATGTCCCCCAGGAACCTCATTCCACTTTAAGACCGCCCAATCATCAGAAAAAATTTCTTCACATGAAGACAACGTCCTCATACTGTCATACCATGTCTCTGCAACTTCAACCCTCACCACCTCGTTCCACCCTCTAGGGTAAAGCAGAACAAGACTAATCCCTTTTCCACAAGACAGCCCTGCAAAAAATTAAGGACAATTGTAATGTTACTCCCAAGTCTTCTCTAGATTAACTCACTGCCAACCCTTCAATCAATTCCCATACTGCACAGTTCCTCTTTCATCCTCCTGGCTACCTTCCTGCATCAGTAATCTTTCCTAAAATAAGGCTTCCTCTCTAAGTGGATGCTGTATATTCAAATGAATTCTCCAAAATTATAAAATTTATTTCACTGTTCATTATGTTTAATGTTTCAAGCTCCTTCTCCTATCTAATGATAGGTTCTTTCTATTTTCAAATGCATTCTAATTTATTGAGAAATTTATTTATACACAAATAAGTTTTAAAGTACTCCAGATTACAAAGGAGAGAACTTGTTAAATTACTTACCATCTGAACAATAAAGAGAACTGTTCCAACAAGACGAACTTGTTTATTAAATCGAAGTTCCAGGTACTGCAAATAAACAAAATAGTGATTCTTTATTAGCAATATGAAAGGAAAAAGTTTTCCAAAATATTGAGCACATCTTTTTCTTTCTACAAGTAACAAGTTCTAAGTAAAGTCCTAAGCATCCCTCTACAGATTTAAACAAGGCAAATCATCATGTTGCCGTGACTATGTAAAAGTGGTTAAACTGAAGAAATTCATCGAAGGGATGCCCTCCACTACAGGGTCTCGAACAGGTCAATTTCACTTTGTGAGGGGCTACAGGGTAGGTAAGGGTCTTGATCCAGCACAGGGTTTTGTGAATTCTAGGTCTTTGTTTTCCCAATCACCACAACTTCTTCGGTGTCAGACTGTGTACTAGAAAGTCAATGATCAAAGCACTGAGCAACAGAAGTCAAAATAAGTAGAAAGGGAGAAAGATACATTCTAGAGAAAGTCAAATACTGGGTTCCCAATTCAACCCAGACACTTCCTAACTAACAAGTTAATTTTCCAAAAGCAAGTCTGACCATGTCACTACCCTACTCAAAAAACTGCAGTGGCTTCCTATTACTTCCAGGATCAAGTCAAAAAAGTCAAAGTCGTCTATCTAGCTTGCAAAGCCCGTCATCACACTGCCCTATCGGTCTCATTACAACACTTGCTCCCCTCCACAATCAAGCTTTTATCCCTCACACACCACATCCGGACTCCAAACCTTTTCACTGCTATCCTCCAGGTCCAGAAAGCTCTCCTTCCTCACTTCCACCTCTGTTTCCTTAATTTTCTGAATGACTGCTCAAATCCCACCTTCAGCAAGACGCCTCTCCAGGTATACACCCATTCCTGCTAATATGCCTTTTCTCAGAGATTACCTTCCATATTCTGCATTTATCTTGTATGCACAAGATTGTTGTCTCTTCCATTAAAATGTGACCTCTTTCACACCTTTCTTTGTGTCCCCAGTGCTTATAGCACAGCATCTGGCACATGGTAAGCATTTAATAAATGCCTGCTGGCTCAAGCTGTGCGACAACAGACAAGTCACAAGTTCTCAGAGCCTCAGTTTCCTCATCTATAAAATAAGGATAATGATAATACTTGCAGCACTACCTACCTCACCTGATTGTGACTAAACAAATAAACCTTAAATTATTAAAAGTGTGTAATTATTATTCTAAGAGAAAGGATGACAAGAAAACATAGAACCTCAAAATAAAAGTAACTCACTGGCAGAGATAAGTAAATATATTGCACAAACTGGTGAAAAAGAACAAGAAGCTACACCAAGAAATGCTCCAAATGAATGCTGAACTTAGAGATAAAAGATCCCATCTTAAACAGATGAGAAAAGCCAGACAGAAATCACCTTTCACATCTAGGAAGCATGGAGATCTTCCACAACTTGCCCAGAGTCACTCAGACAGTATGGATCAGAGACAGTTATTTGATCCCAAGTTGTCCTGGCTCAGGGGCAGCTATCCACTAGATCACAACCAAACCAAAGCTAGGGATGATGACAGAGATAAAATGGAGAAACTTGATCACATAAAATTTTTAAAATTTTGCGCAAACAAAACAGATGCAACTACAATTGGAAAAGAAACAGTTAACTAGGGGGAAAAAAGATTTTTGCAGCAATTTTACCTGATAAAGTTCTCATTTCCAAGATTTATAGAAAAAACTGATTCAAATGGATAACAAGAGTCATTTCACAATTTATTAATGGTCAAAGGACAAGAACTGGCAGTTTTTAAAAAAAGAAATGCAATCTATCAACGACCAGATGAAAAAATGCTTCACGTCACTAGTAATTAGTCAAAATGCAAATTAACACCACTGGGTTAGAAGGGGCAAAGGAAAAATATGCATATTCATGCAAAGTTGATGAAAACCGTGAAATGGTCCAGCCATTCTGGAAAGCAATTTGAACTATGCCCAAAAAGCCACTAAACTGCATACATTTTTGACAGTGATCTAACTACCAGGCCTTTCACCCTAAACAGCTTAAAGAAAGAATTCCCTACACCTACAGCAGCTCTTTCTGCAATGGAAAAAAAAAAAACTAGAAACAAGTAAATATCAAGAAAGAAATGGCTGAACAAATTATGGTATATGGATGTAACAGAATATTTATTATACCATGAGAACTGATCAAAGGGACAGATGAGGAGCAAGTAGGAAATATATGAACTGATACAGAATGAAGTAAGCAAAAGCTGAACAATTTATACAATGTTATAAAATAAACTCTGAAAGACTTAAGAACTCTAATAAATGAAATGACCAACCATAATTCCAGAGTACCAGTGATGAAGCACACTACTCACCTCTTGACAAGAAAAGTGATGGACTGAAGATGCAGAACACATACTTACATACATACATATATACTCTAGGCAATACCTGCCATGAGAAGAATATAATGTTGTGAGAACAGAGGATGAGGAAGAGATATAGCCAATAAAGTAACTGTTGCTTCAGATGCAACCACTCTTCTCCTCAGATTGTTTAGCTGTCCAAGACTGGAACAGTCAGGATTTTACTTAGGTCCTATCCAGCTCAGGATTGCAGAAGCCTGGAAATAAAACCACTTGCTCCATCTCCCACCTCCCTCTACCCAGTCACAAAGACAATGAGAAGACTGTGGGAAAAATACACAGACAATATAATCTGCACATCAAAACAAAGAATGGGAAAGCAAGATGAGGGAGGACAGGCAGAATTCATTAATACATTAGAGATAGGGATTGGATCTGTGAGCTCACTGATTTGGAGAACTCCAATCAACACTGGTCAGCACCTTCTTTGCAACAGCCATAGACAGTTGCTTGGAGCACTGAGAGCTTAAATACCTTGATCCAGGTCACCCAGGATGTGTCAGAGACAGGACTCAAACCTAGATCTTCTTGGTGCATGTGCCAACTCTCTACTCCCTATATACCAAACTTCCTCCAAGGGGAAAAAAAAATGAAGTCGACTGCACACTTAAATTCCCCTTTCCTCTTTTCAGATTTCTCATTTCTAAGACCTTTGTACTCTCCAGCACATACCACCCCCAATTCTATCAGATAAAAGTCTAATATGATATTTTTTATGCCCTAGTATTATTGTATTTCTTAGCATGTGGGCAACATGGTGGAGGCCTACACACCTAAGAACTGCTGGGACAAACCGAGTATGACGTGTTAATAAATCAGTGGTGTCAAACTCAAATGGAAAGGGATCCCTTGAGGTCACATATAGACTTCAAAAAAATATGTAATCTAAATATGCATTTTTATTTAGTTAAACATTTCCCAATTGTATTTTGATCTGGTTTGGGACCTACTGGGGCATTTTTTTGTGGGCTAAACAAGTGGTCTACAGGTAAGTTTTGACAACTCTGTGCTAAATCACTAATTTCACCTAGTACAGTGTAGGACCTAGGACTAAGGACCTGGATCCTACTTTTCATGACCACAGATCCTCCCTGGGGCCCCTCTGATTAATAACAGAGGAAAGAACTCCTCTAAAAACCTCTATTTAAGGAGGGTACAGCAACCTCTTCATTTCCCACCCAACCCTCCCCAAAGTACCTTCCTCACAGCCCCCTTTCAGCTTCTTCCCCCATTAGATTGTAAGCTCCTTGAGGGTAGGGAATGACTTTTCAGTAGTTGTATCCCCAGCTCTTGGCACAATAGTCAATGCTTTGCAAATGTTTATTAACTGACTGTATGACTTTGCTTCTTCCTCTTCTTTTCCCATCCCTTTATCCTCTACTTTACCAGGACTTCAAAAGCACAGAATCCAGAATCCATTCTCACCATTTCTTTTCTCTGTTCCTATTCCATTACCCTGGGCTAAAATCTCACCATTTCTCTCCTTTCCTTTCCAACTCCCATTTGACTGATAATACCTCCTTGATAAAGTATAAAGTGGTTCTGGCACTGATAATACCTTGATAAAGTATAAAGTGGTCTTTTCTTGAGTACTTGTCACCTACTCACAGCACATGGATAACTGATGGAGGATTTTGATGACACTTGGCTAGTTCATCTATATGAACTACACCCTTGAACATGGCCTTCAAAAGATGGCTACACATGGAGCACAGTGTGCAGAACTAGAGACAGAAACGTAAAGAGAAGGGAAAGTCACAGGCCAAGGTTCCTAGAAGAAGCCTATGTCCATTCCTTTTTCCTCCCCCCAACCTGCCCCCAACAAAAAAATCACATGGACTAAGAGATGGGCACCAAATGAAGAGGATTAAAATAACAAGTTACCATACAAAAGAGAATGAGTTACTGGATCAAGTGAGAACCAAGATGCAAAAAAACAAGCCCAATCCTTGAGTTTCCCTGGTGCTCCAATATGTACACTCAATAGTATTTCAGTGGCAGAGGCTGCAAGAAATTCATCACCCCTGAATTCAGGCTTTCCCTGGTAAGGAGGCCCTGTCCACAGTCTAGGAGTGTGGAGAACTCTGCCCATTCCCATCGACTATCCAGCAACCCCAAGCTCTTCCTGCTTTTAAAAGGAGAAAGGAGGCACCTAACTTAAAACAAGCACGCAAGGTTGTAGAGACCCCTCAGGAAGGTGGAGCCTTACAAAGAAGGAGAGAAGACGATACGAGTCCTTTATGGATTTTTTTTGGTGCTTTGTTGTTACATCAAATAAAGCCTGCCCTAAGTATGATGGCTTGTTACCTAGCCTGAGTTTTTTACATGGGTGTTGACCTTCTTCATTTTTTCTGGAGACAAGAGTCAAATTCTAACGTTTCTAGGGGAAACCCTTAGTGGTGGCATGAGCCACAGAGATGGTACATGAAAAGTTCCCAAAACTAAACCAAATCCACAGAAGAGTCATGAGTTCTGGGTCATGGTTTATGTAGTTATAATTTTGGACAAAGCTGAATTCAAGTTAAAAAGAATTAAGGGAGATAAACATGGCTCCTGGTTGTTGCCCTTCATTCTGCTGACCAAAAACAAAACCACAATCAATGAGACATGTGTATTGCAACAAGATTTAATAAATCTATTAATTTC